TTTTTTTTTTTTTTCTTTTTTTTTCAAGATGGCAGGATGGGCAGAGCAGGCTGCAAAGCCGAGGATTAATACCTTTATTGAGTTTGTATCAGTTTGTACAGAACAGTAACCTAAGGTTAGCTAATAGGTGAATACATGGAATCGCATGCATAGATCGAGATGTTCAGGAACAAACAAGCTGTCAAAGTGAGATCTGACAAGTGACAGGGGCAAACAGCCCCAACCTGACCCAGCTGACACATGGGCATGGGTTGACCCATGTTGGATGCTGGATGATGTCCACCTTGGCTCATGTCAAATGGTGCATTACGGGTCCGCGAAATAATCGGGAATCTGTGGAGGCCTTTACCAACAGAAAGGGAGCCTAGTGATTTACGGATCCGAAGAGTAACTCGCCTTGCACAAGTTACAAGACAGCTAGCTACGGTAGAGCAATGCAATCTGCAAAGAGTACCGAGGGTGAAACCCACGCAATGACACGTCATGTCATAAGTATTGATGAGACGAATCAGAGAAAAGAAGACAAGACAAGAGACGAGATCATATCAGAGACATGAAAAAAAGTGATAAAGTACCGATGGCCACGAGCAGGTCAGACAGGAGAATGAGGCTGGCAGGAAGTTGAAAGTTGGCATGGGCATGGGCATACCGTAAAAGCGTAGGTAGCCTGGCCTGGGTTGGGTTGGCTAGGCTCTGGTGATCACCATGGACATGGAGATCATGGTGAGCAGGGATATTACGCCTCACTAGGGTGTGTTAGATGGTAACCAATCCGATGGGATACCATCCGGGGAGAAAATTTGGGTGACACAACATGAGCGTTGGTAAGGGTTTCAGATTTGGAGTGGTAAGGGAATGATTGATAAATGACCTGCTCAGATAGTCAGATAACATGCATTTAGTTTCAGATAATTGGTCGAGCAGTTTGTACTGAGACAGCCAGATAGATTCATTGGACATAAGACGAGATATGAATCAGTGGTCTCGCAATCACACCTGGACTTGGCCATTGGTTGATCTATTTACCGCCTGCATGAACTTTGCTAACGTTGGAACTTGGAAAGGCCAGGGACGGTATAGACTATAGCACTGTGTGTAGCAAGGAAGAAGCGAACTCATTAGAAGAAAAGCCCGGGGGGACTCGACCTTGCTTTTTTAAAAGAGCCTGCAGTTTCTCCTGGTGGAATTGCTTTGTATCTCATCGTGTTCGTCTCGGCGTCGCCTTTGGGTTATCTCTCCTTTCATCTTGCCTTCCGTTGCTTCTTCCTTCACTTTCACCTGGCACGAGGAACTCTTTTCTTGAAACGAATGCTGGCACTGCACTGTGTTGAAGTGGGCAGATAGACAATAGCGGTCAAGCAGGATCAACGATCAACGATCAACGTCAAGGTTAACGTCAACGGTCAAGGTCAAGGTCAAGGTCAATGCCAAGGTCATGTCGATGACGAGACAACGAGAAGAACGGTGATAATCGAAGGGAGGAATGCCGTAGCTGCAGCTGTCTGATATTCTCAAATACTGGGGGAAACACTTTAATCCAAGACATTCGCTTTAGCAAGTGACGAATCGTATTCCGCGGAGTAATTCCAGTCTATCGGTTGTGGAATCTTATACCAATACAGGCAGGCTTCGCAGCGAGGCATTACGATAAGTGTGACCATAGTGAAGGCATTTTTCGGACAGATGGGATTGATCAGATGTGGATTTTAGATACGTATACTCCGTAGCGCATGCAAGATAATTGTGACAGGACAAGAATAGAAACTGGCGTTGTATCAAGTATTCTCGTTATAGATGACCAGACGAGTAGAGAAAAGAGACAACTGTTGCGAGATGTTAGGCTGGACGCAGCCCAGTCCAATGGAAACGAAACGGTGGCTGAAGCTGAAGCACGAGCCTTATCACAAGTTGGTCACGGGAGCAGCGGCACTGGCGGCTGCGCCTGGAGCATTAAGCGAGAACCTCTCGTCTCCGCCCGCAATAATAGCACAGTGTTTTGTACAGTGAAAGATTTATGGCGTTCGTCTCACCGGTTCAACGCCTGGCAGGTACGCTAGAACAAAGTCCCCTGTCAGCGTTACGAGTAGGTAGCTGAAGATCGTAGCCTTAGCGGTCTAGCCCCCTGGACAGTCCGCTAAGATGAGCTTCCATTGCAAGGGATGCACAGTGTCGCGGTGAGAACCCAATTGGCCACCTTCCCCTTACTCTTCGTACTGCACGTCCCCTTCCCTTCTTCTTCCCCCAAATCCCAAACGCGCAGGGGGATTGGCTTCTGACGTCTCTTGCAATCTTGAAAGAAGCATCATCAGTACTGTATCGCATCGTATCGACCGACCCCCATCCTCAATTGAGGCGCATCACGAGTCGACCCTTTCAAGCCCCATTCTTTTTTTCTTTTCCTTCTTTTCCTCGTTTTCCCATTCCCTCCAATTTCCAGGGCCTGGAACTCAGCATTGTTTCACTGTCAGGCTGCCTGTCCTTACCAAGGCTACAGTGCTGTACTTTGCGTCACTGTACCAAAGGGGTACATCATAGCTACCCATAGCGCGGTGTCTTAACCTATGCTGGTCATAGAGATCGCCCATTGAGACAGACACGACAGCGAAAGCGAAAACGCAACGCACAGCAGCCTTCATCGTAAACGCCTCAGGCTCGTATCATAATGGCCGCCGCTACCGGACTTCTCAAGTCCAAGGGCGCCGCAGGTTCTTCGGGATACCAGCCAGTTCATCAAGATGAGGGCGATGGTCACGATGGCGATCGGGCACCTCCTGTCCAACCAATTGTCCCTCGGGGCCCAATGCGAACCTACCGAAACATGGTGGTGCTTCTCTCAGGCCTCGTCGTTCTTCTCATGGCCACAAACCTTTATCTCAGTCTTCCTTTAGCTTTCGGCTCCGGCTCCGGCTCATGTCCGGGCGACCCACCCCGAGTGCCCCAGTATTTCCAGACCTCTCCGGAACTATGGGCCGGCGTAACTGAAACTGGCAAGCCGGCTTTCATGGCCCAGACTCATGTCTTTGAGCCTACGGCTACTTTTGTTCCCAATGACCCGCTGCAGACTTCCATCCCCATCGAGGGCATGAAGGAGGGTAACCGAAGCATCTTCCAGATGATGGGTTACCTGAGTCCCTACTGTCCCTCTACTGGTTTCGGCGTTGACGAGTATCCTATTCCTCAAGGTGCCGAGATTGTTCAAGTTCAGATGCTGTCACGACATGGTGCTCGTTACCCGACTCCTGGCGCAAACGTTGCAACTCTTGGTGAGCGTCTCGCCAATGCTTCGTCCAGCTTTAAGGGTAGCGATGCTCTGGAATTTCTTAATGACTGGAAGTATGAACTCGGCAAGGCCATCCTAGTGCCAAGAGGTCGGCAGGAGCTATTCGAGTCTGGTAAGAGTTGATGGATCAAGAACCCTGGCCTTGATACTAACGTTTGACAATAGGTGTCTTGCACAGCTACATGTATGGTAGCCTGTACAACCCCCAGAGCAAGCTCATTGTCAGAACTACCGTACGTGACTTTGCACATAGTTTCCATGTATCAAGTATGCTAATTCTGCGCAGACACAAGACCGTATGCTGAAGTCTGCTGAAAACTGGATGGCTGGATTCTTCGGTCTTGAGTGGTAAGTCACATTTAACGGACTAGCTACAAATCATTAACATAATCAGGACCAACAATGCCACCATCGAAGTGATCATCGAAGCCCCTGGCTTCAATAACTCACTCGCCGGAAATCTCAACTGTCCCAACGCGGAGAAGGCGGACTATGTGACCCCTGTAGCGACTTGGTATAAGAAGTACTTGAAAGATGGTTTGTCACACAAAGAATATCCTCACTCTAAGATGATTAATGCTGACAAAATCGATAGCAACTGATCGATTCAACAACATGACCGAGGGTTTCACATGGACTGCAGAAGATGTCTGGGCCGCCCAGAACATGTGCCCTTATGAGACCGTCGCCTATGGCTTCAGCAGATTCTGTGACCTCTTTACTTACGAGGAGTGGGAGAACTTTGGCTACTCAATCGATCTTGGTTTTTCTTCTGGTGCCGGTTTCCAGAGCCCCATTGGCGTAAGTATATATCTTCCCATTGATATCAACCTTACTAACCGCAACTACAGAGAGCAACCGGTCTTGGTTACCAGCAAGAGGTTATTGCGCGCCTTAAGAACCATACCCTCGGCTACTCTGGTTCCCAGATCAACACCACTCTCGATGGCATGACAGAGACCTTTCCTCTAAACCAGAGCCTCTACTTTGACTTCTCCCACGACACCAACATCATCTCTATCCTCACAGCTTTTGGTCTAACCCAGTTCGCTGAGGATCTTCCTACCGACAAACACCCCGGTGACCACGAATTCGTCGTTTCCAAGCTCACTCCCTTCGGTGCGCGCCTGGATATCGAGATCATCAAAGCTCCCCAGCCCGTCTCGCCAAACAGAGATGGCTACCTCGACGGTAAGGAGACTAAGTATATCCACTTTGTGCTCAACCAGCGAACCGTACCTTTGGGTAAGAGTTTCTCGGAATGCGACGTTAACCGTAAGGATGGCTGGTGTGAGCTTGAAACGTTCCTCAAGGTGCAGGAAAAGATGGCCGAAAAGGCGCAGTTCGACTATGCCTGCTTTGGGGATTATCCCTCACTGCCCTACGGCAAAGTTACGGATGGAGCACCGCCATCTTGAGCCATCTATGATAGGGTAACATGTGTAAGATATGAGATATCATTTAGGTTTTGTAAATCGTGGCAGGGTCATTGAGCTATGGACTTCTTATTTATCTTGATATAGAGACTGGTTATACCACGTATGGGATATAGATATGCTGGAATGTTTAGCTTTTATTTTCGTCATGGGATGAACAAAGTATTACGCAGGTTGATAATTAATCAATCAAAGGGAATGTTCATGCTTTTCACAATGGACTTGAGAGATATGTAGTATGAAGAAATCTGATTCACTAACTATCTGCGTTATCAGATTGCACAATTATATGTACGTATCAATGACATGTGCCGCTTTTCCTAAGCCATACACATCTACCGTCGGGTATTAAAAACAATAAAGGCATATACGTCGACAAGTAGATCGATCAACCCGTAACGCCATTGCCTGCTACCCCCAATGTCCCAAAACCCAAAAAAGAAACAAAGAGAAGGTGCTCTTAAATAAAACCCTCTATATCAAACAAGGCTAACGTGACTCGCAAAGGTGAAGTTGCAATAGACAAATCTAAGCATGCTTCTCGGTGATGACCGCGTCAGGTGCGATGACGTCGGGTGTGTTAAGAGAAGGAGTCTTGCGGGCATCGTCAGACTCGCTGGGGTTCATCATGGACTGGTGTTCCTGGATGCCATGGGTGGGCTCGAGAACATCACCATCCTCGGCGGGCTCACCACGCTGAGGGCTCCAGGCAAGGAAGTCACGGCGAACCTCAACGTAGTCGTAAGAGAACTCGCCATGCTGATCGTCATCCATACCCAGGAGCTCGGCTTCCTCAGAAGCACGGAGCTTGAGACCAGGGATGAAGTCGATAATCTTAGCGATGATGGCGGACATAACGAAGGCGTAGGCTGAGGCACCAATGATGGCGGCGATCTGCCAGCCGATGACGACGTAGTTGCCATCCATGAAACCACCCATGACACCAGTGTTAACACCGTCGAGGCCGATGATGGAACCGCGAGCGAAGAAAGCGTTGAAGATGAGACCGACAATACCACCGACACCGTGCTCGGCGAAGACATCGAGAGAGTCGTCAATTCGGACAAGGAACTTGACTGTAAGAGGAGGTTAGTCGCTGTCATACGATGTATATTGATAAGTTGACTTACTCTTGGTGGCAAAGTTACAGGCGACACCAGCAACAACACCAAGGATGATGCTAGCCCAGGGGTCGAGGAAACCAGAAGCGGGAGTGGCGGCAACGAGGCCAGAAATGGTACCGGAGCACCAGCCGACCATGGACCACTTGCGAGCCAGACGGAAATCGAGAATGCACCAAGTCATAGCAGCGAACATGGCAGTGAGGCAAGAGTTCCAGCAGGCCATGACAGCACGGAGGTTGGCACCGAAAGAAGAGCCACCGTTGAAGCCGAGCCATCCAAACCAGAGGAAAATGGTACCGAGGGTGATGAGAGAGATGTTGTGAGGACGGAAGTTCATCATCATCTTCTCGTTTCGGCGGCCGAGAACCCAGGAGTAGGCAAGAGCGGACATACCAGAGCCAATCTCGACAGGAACACCACCAGCATAATCGAGAACGCCGTGGACAAAGCCCCAGCCGTTGGGGTTCCAGACCCAGTATGCCAGAGGGCAATAGACGAGGGTAGCCCAGAAAAAGATGAAGACCATGCTAGGAATGACACGGCCTCGCTCAGCAACAGCACCGATGGTAAGAGCAGCGGTGACAGCACAGAACATCATCTGGTAGAAAGAGTATAGAAGAGCGGGAATGAGAGCTGATCCGACCGAGGGAGCGCCCCAAACGTGTCGGAGACCGAAGTGCTTAAGATCGCCGATAAAAGGGTTGTTGGAAGTTGTAGAGAAGGCGAGCGAGAAACCCCAGAAGTACCACTGGAAGACGATGACGGAAAAGGACATCATGACGACCCAGAGCATGGAGAGAGCTGACTTTCTGCGAGCAAGACCGGAGTAGAGAAAGGCGATACCGGGGACCATGAGAAGGACGAGACAGGCCGAGACGATGATGAAGGCCTGGTCACCAGACTGGTACCATTGGTTGAGGTTCTCGGTAGCTGGAGAAGAACCATGTTAGCATGTGCTTTGAAGTGGTAAAACGAAGCCGTGATGATGAATTTTTATGTGTTATTGTAGGTAAAAACATACTGGAATCACCACCAAGCTCCTCGTTGGTGCCATTGAAAGGCGTTGGGGGTCCGGGAGCGACGTAAGACATATTGGACTATCGTATTTATGATGTCGTCGGGCTTCGATTCGAATTTTCGGATGGTGATTGAGGGTGAAAGATGTTGAGAAGATGAGAGTCGATGAGATTTAAGAATCCTTCTCAAGCCGGGAGGCGAGGAAGGTAATACCCAGTAAGTGAGAAGAGAGACCGGATGAGGAAGGAAAGTTCCACCGATTCTAGGAAGGTATGGAAACAACCTAGTGGGAATAGAAACGGAACGGAATATGGAGAATAGAGACGAGAAGAGAAAGAGGATTTGAGATGAGACGGGGAAAGACTTTAATATATTTGTTCGACGTGGGTTTGTGAGTGACTGCATTCTTAGCATCTATCTACCGTATCTAAGGTGTATCCTAGACCCATTCTCCACGAGCCAAAAAAGAAAAGGCGCCATGGGGATGGGACAGGATGGGATGGGATGTTCTAAGCCTGGGCGTGGGACAATCCAATCTGCTGCAGATCTTGCTGGTACCCAAAGATAGAGGCGCGACACATTGGACTCGAGACAAGAGATAGAGATAGCAGTCTGTGGGAGGGAGATAGAGATTAGCTAGAGCAGGGCATGGTATGGCATGGCATCCATGGGCAGCCCATTGATAGCAAGGAGTACGTACCGGGACTCAGCATTTCACAGGGCTGTACAGCACCCGTTAGTCGCTGTGATACCGCCAGCAATTGATCTGATTCCCGCTAGATACAGCGCGTAGTAACCAGTTGGACACATACAAAAACCATGCTTGACTTATGGGATGCTATCTTTATCGGTACGTACCGACTATTTGATAGAGATAAAGATAGCGGCAGGTACAGTACCGGCTCTAGCTCAGAGCGCACTTGTACGTTTTCAGTAAGGCGTCTACTATGTCGACTCCTCTTTGAGCGCCGTTCTCGGCTGGTTCCTGGGATTCCCAGATCGAGAAACACCCCTGTCAGGTCTGTTCTTGCCTTCCCGGACAGAGTCCGTAAGACACGCCCTTTCGCAGCTTGTTAAGGCTTTGCAGCATTGCAGCATTACATCACCCACGAGGAAAGAAGGAAGAGGGAAGCTTATGCTGCATGGAATTAAACACGTTGTTCGATATAAATATAGATCTAAGCATCCAGGAATAAAAAGAGTACAGTAGGTTCTACAAATAATCCTCCATTTAACAAATCCTTCCTGTGCAATGCCCCATGCCACCTCCTGCGAAATTGGGGGCTTTCCAACTTTGGGCATCAGCAAAGAACAAGGGTGTGCATGAAAAAACCTGAATCTCTCAACTCATTGGATCGCCAGAAACCTGGGGAGACAAATGAATGAGTAAAACCCCGAAGAAAAAAAGACGGGTAATCGGTTTAAACGTGATTCCTTTCCCCTGGATGCACGCCGTTGACGTGTGATATCAAAGAGACGCAGAAGCGTGGGGTTTCTGTCTCGAGACAAGACCCTTTGATAGATAGATTGTCTGATGAGTATCAAGATTATGGAAGAGCAGGGTCGTAAACATTAAATCTTAAACTCTCTAGTTGAGCCTGGATAGGATAAACTCAGCCCGGATCATGTACCTAGATAGACAAGACGCCGAAATTTGAACACTCGGTCATCACTGTGACTGCGATTAAGTCGACACACATGAAGCCTCGCCGTTGTCGGTTCACCATGTTGACTTTTTCGCCTTCGAATGACGACCTACCCTCTCAATTGTATGAAACGAGTGGATCAATAGACGATTAAAACGGGCTTCTTGATCGGAAACTATTGTAATCGGGTCGCTGATCGTCGTCTGTAAATGCGGAGAGCAAACCCAAGAAAAGGCAAGACAGGCAAGACAGGCAAGGGAGTGGTCCGATTTCACTAGGTAGTAAGGAGACTAAACCGCAAAGATTATTCCATTACAGTGGGCGATGTGTAAAGACGTTTGATTGCATTACTACGACAAAACTCCATGCATATGATATCCATAATCCTTGGCCATGACCATGACCATCAAATCTGGGGTCAGCTTCAGCTCTCCCTCGGGTGACCATCCGAGGGATGAATAGAATGTCTGCTGGACAGAGCACCCAAGCCTTGGCCTATGCGAGGAGTAGATTACGGTACTCTCAGCTCTCTTTCTGTAATGCATCTCTGTAAGTTATCAAGATCATCTTAGTAACAGACTTGGCGAGATACCAAAGAAGAAAGCTTGCAACCACCACAAATCGCTTGGATTCTTGGCTATTTTTACTTGGATGCTATGCTCGTTCAGCTTTCGCCAGATGTTTCATTCTGAAGCAAAATAACCTTCTTCGGCTTCCTTTTGACTTGACACGTCTTACACGTGAAGAACGCCACTACGTATTGCTTTGTGCGCATCATCTCAACTGGCGTCATCCAGATAAGAGAATTTGAAGCCTGTCATTGGCTCCCATGTCTCGGGAGCCGCCCATGCTGGACGTGTAGCTAAAGTGCAGTGCCTTTTGCTTTTACTTTCTTATCAGAAGTTGATTGCTGTCGTTGGTTTTTTGTGGGGGAGGCTGTGTGGCTTTTCGGTACGGTACCGTAGGTACTCAGTACGTACCCTTCAATTCGTGTGAGTAAAATTATTGTTTAATGAGAACATGGATCTATTGATAATATCGTCGACACATCGTAACTCACCAGCCAATCATAGGCCCCTATGCTTTCCCAGCATACTCGTCCGTCCAAGTCACTTTTTTGATGTCCATTCGAAACAATATTTTATTTGATTGATTATTATCAAAGCTGAAAATGCTCAGCTGAGCTTCTTCTATCTATAAGCTGTCATCATGCAATGGATGCCCCCCATGAATTTCTTATTTTGTTTCTTATTTTCGTACCTGAAGACCCTCAATGGCTGGCTGTCCATGTCCAATTCTGTATTGTAACTAACACTCACTCAGCTTACATACAAACCTTGGCGGTTGCCCTGCATCTGCATCTGTAACCTCATCATCGGGGGTGTGAAAGCTTGGCCCCCTTGTATTCCGGGGCATCCCGGCACAACGGGAGGCGGATGCTCTGTTCCGTACCGTCGATTCGGACGCATTTTGGGGGCCGCTCCGAGTTTCGACGCCGGCACTTACAGCCCAGAACTCGCTCGGCCTTAACACGGATCAAAGTCAGCTTTTCATCTCGGTGATACCGCTCACTAAAACGTGGGCATGGGATATCAATGTCCGTTCTCGTTCTCCATCAAGAGCCTCATTCTCGGAAGAAAGTGGCCTTTTAAATAATACAGTTCCGTCACCGAGACGTCCTGACTCTTGCTCATGACGTCTCCCATATCCTTCATGGACTTCAATGTCCAGCCTGAACAACATTATCCCCAGATTTTAACCCATCCAATCAGACTCGCTCTTTTCAAGCTGATCAAAGATGCTGTTCTCCGTCTTATCTGCCCTTGCAGCGTCTCGACCAATCAAGAGTTTCTCGGCCATCAAATCAACACAAATTGCACTTGGTCATGTCTAGCTCCCACACGCCCTCTGTCTCTTACAGTCACTATCTTTGCTACTGTCACTCCTCTTCTAGAAGACTTTATTGCCCTTACCTTTCTCCCCCGGGACGGATTGCGGGGTGGCTCTGCCTCGTCCCGCCGACCCGGAACCCCGAGATACGGATGCATACTCAAAGCTGGGTAAGAATTGTAAATAATTCATAATTGTCACCACTCCCGAGGCAAGCTTAATCCCACCCACCGTTCCGTTTATTGTTCTTTCCTGTCACTGCTCCCAACCAGCAAGCCTACTTCACCCGATGCACAAATGACCCTTGACAAGCAGACAACTTGATGCTAGTAACACCACAGGATAACAGAGAAATCAGAAATCATCTTTTAGGATTTAGGGCGCCAAAATAAAGTGGCCTAAAAGGCAGCGTAAGCTCACATAAGGTAGCTAAGTTATTTCGTCTCTTAGCACCCTAGGCTAAAGTCTATGTTGTTGAAAACGCCAAAGAACTCCGGTAATGCATGAAATAAAGCTTCCACCGGGTATCGATGAGCCAGGAATAAAAGGACCTGGGTTCAGAAAATGCATAGTTTGCCTGTTTGCTCCTCGCGCGTTAATTCATAAGATAAGATATCGTGGTTTCGATAGTGCAACATCAGCCGATATCGCCGTGGCATCGCTGGACCTCCACCTCCGACTTTGCCTCCGACATCATCGCCCACCTGAACGGGCCCCAAGGCCATCCCGTGCAAAGGTCGCAGGTTTTTGACCTTGCGATGTTTGTCCTCATCGGACTTTGTCGGTAGCACCCACTCTACTCGAAATCCGTGTTCCCAGCTACCCTGATCATGCTCACCAGTGCGAGCTCTTCGTGTCAGTGTTATGAGCACAACACGTCCAATGGGCGACCCAATGACCATGAGGGAAAGCTCGGGCACCATAGCAATCATGTTCATCCTACTTGTTGCATGGAAATGCCCCCTAAGGCCGACGTTCCGGAAACGTCCAAATGTCAGGGCGTCTGGACAAATGACTCCAAACTCTGGCGGTGAGTTTTCACTTGTATTTGACGCAAATGAACGCAGCTCGATATCTTTCTCGTAAGTTCGTAACAGAAATAGCTTTTTCCCAAGATCTTCCAGGTGATCCGGCGACGTTAGGGGATGTCGGTTACGCTCAGTGGATTTCCCACTCCGCACAAAAGCAAGCATTTTGAGCGCACTTCGAGGTGTTGGATGCACCGTGTTGCTGTGAGGGAAGTATGTCATGTCGAGATTGTGGGGGTTTGCGTTGTTCCCAGAAGCGTCTTGACCTTTGAAGCCCTCTTGGTTCAATCTCGTATCCCACCCATACAAGTTGTCTGGAAGACTGCCGTCGACCTGCTGCGTATGGTTTGAGCTCCAATCAGGTATAAAAATGTCTGCCTCCATGTCGATTTCTGAGCCTTCCGAGTCACCTTCGCCTTCGCTTTCCTCGGTATCTTCCTCCAGCTCATCCTCCCCTGCGTCGCTTCCATCGCTGCCTAGTCCTGTTCCATCTGGCATCGCAAAACCCGTCTGAAATAAGGCTGGGCCCCAAGGCAACGGCATGCCTGCACCGGGGCCGAGGAGGATCGGCTCCCTCGCTGACAGAGGAAACGGGGCTAAGTGTGGATTATCGGGGATTTCAGAAAGGGCCTTTCTGATATTCACTAGCTGTTGGCTACAGCCGTTGCCTACTGGCACATTTTCAGTCTGGTTTTCGGGTATACCAAATAGCTCTTCTTTTGTCTTGACTTTCAAGAAGTCCCTTTCGTCAAGAGCAAATACGCCCCAACCCCTAGAGAGAGCCGGGTAAAATTCCTCACTTCTAATTAGGAAGCCGGATAACGGTCGAACCTGAATTGGACCTGTGTTTCCTTGCCAAATATCTGCGAGCCACAGATTTCCCTTAATATCAACAGCACCCACTCGCTGAGCATTGCCGTGACAGTCGTCTATAAAACAGATATTTGGGATATTATCCGCGGCTGGGGGCAATCGGATCACAATACGCCAATTACGGGTACGTGTCTGTGTAGCTGGCTGTGGCGTGATGGCTGTCCTGTGACTCGGAGGATTCTGGGTCAAGGCGAGGGCGAAGACAACTACCTCGTGATGATTCGAGCTGACAGCGATCAACCGTGATTTTTGATGTATAGACAAGCCCCAAGCTGATATGCCAGTATTCTCATGAAAGAATTGTTCCGGGGCTGATTTGTGCAACACATCAGATGTACCACGACATGTGAAGATCCGTTTCGCAAGGTCTTTGGTGTAGTATGCAACCACGTCGCCATCGTCGTAGCACGCAAGAACTATTTCTTCGTCTCCGAGAAACCCAATTATCATATGGTTAATCGTGTGTGGTCTAGATACGTCGACTGCACCTCCTACCAGCTGGGCCACATCGCTGGCTTTGGGCTTGAGTTGTAAATCAGGCTGGCTCGGCAGCGATTGACTCGGGGCGGTGCGGGGTCGGTAAACAAATATTCGGCCTTGGTATGCAGAGAAGTAAAGCTATGGTGATACGTTAGTATCGTGATCGCAAACCAGGAGAGATGGTCACACATTGTACACTTGGGAGAGTGCAGTCAGGTTCCCTCTAAACTTCTGCATGGATGGTATCAATCGATATATAGAAGTTCCGCTATGCCTCTCGTCGTCCGAGTCGCTACCAGCCGGAGGCCAAACAAAGGGCACTTCGGTGCTCTGGGGATGAAGGCCTAGAGTCACCAGTTCGCGATCACGAACGGCGGCTTTAGCGCCATCGCCAAACTGTTTGGTCGCAAAAGCAGGCAGAGTCAGCAAGAAAGGTACAAGTGCGGGCAAGCAGTGTAGGAAGACTTACCCGATCAGTAGCGGTTTGTGCATAGCATTTCCCGACAGATATTGGCTGAAATTTGCGGCTTTCCATCAGCATTCAATCATGGGCGGGGATGGCCTTGCTCGGATCTGAACTTGAAGGTGCAAAAAATAAATGAGCTAAGAGCCGATCAGAATTGATATGAAGCGGCTCGCTGATTTTGTCTCCAGCGTTCTCCCGCAGCTAAGCATAAGGTAGGTTCAGGTGACGGCCGAATGGGTGATGCCGTAGGGCAAGGCAAGACAATGCAGTAGTCGGTAGCGAATAGAATCGCTGCGCGCAGCTTTGCAAGATGCAGTACAATATGATCTGATTAAATCCGATGCGACGAGATAGATGTTGTTGAGGTATGCAGAAGCTAAGTCAGTGTACAACACAGCCAGGTCAGTTCAGCGTATCCAAGTCCACGGCGGGGACAAAACCCGGACCACCTACTGGGTAACAGAAAAATTGTCCTCCAAGGCTTAGGGTGCTAAAATAAAGTAGCCTGGCTGTTAGTCTAAGCTGACAGAAATTGCCTAAATTATTTTGTCTCTTAGGCTTTTGGCGGCCAATCTTTCTGACCCTGATGCCGGGCTCTGTTGTTCTTTCCCGTCTTGAAAAGGAACCGGTCCAATGCGAGCGGCCGAATGCAGAGTCGCGGGGTGCGGCGCGGCGGCACGTCAGTCCCTTCCTCCAAAAGGTGGATTGATTATCGATAAGCAGCTTGATGAGCAGCAAAATACGTAATCTGCAGGTAAACAAACGAAACAGTTTCCGAACTTGGCAAGTACTAAGGACTATAAGCAGCAGCGTAAAGAGAAGGAAGTATGGTGTATAATTGAATGATAAGAATCATGCCAAAGGCTCCGTCGTGAGTTGTTGACTGCTGATTTGGGGGCCGGGACGAGCTATCCCTAAGACTAGACGGAAACTTTATATCAATGTGTATCAAGAATCAGAATATTGACCTGCCGGGTAGGTAACAGAAGAATTATCTTCCAAGGCTTGGGTTAGTTATCATAATAAATTAACCTAAGTGCTGGTCGAAGATAACATAAAGTGATTAAGTCATTTCGTCTCTTATGCTTTCGGAGACTAATTCTTCTGATACCATGAAGCCTGCCAACTATCATATATCTAAGGCCAGGTTCTTATAAGTTAAACAGCATCAAGTCTTTATGTATTATCACAAGCACTATGGTGGCAGTGATACTATATATATTCAAACGTCCATTGCGCTATAAAGGTATATCCTCCAAGTCAAATTCCAAAATCCATTCTTATTTCATCCATAGTCATAAAAATATCATCAAACATGCCTAAGCCGCCATAAGCTCTAGCATATCCTTCATCCGGTAATCAAGCACCGGCGTCTTCCAGTCATCCTGCAGCAAGCCATATCTCTCCGTGGCGTTGCCCTTTGGCTTTCGCGCATTGAGTGCCCAGTATCCAAAGTCAGCATCCATCTCCTGCAGGAACCGCGTCAGATGCTGCCAGTAATTTATATCACCCACTGATGGCTGCACAGGGGCGCCAATCTCGCCAACCCACACCGGGGCGATCTGCTTCTCGAGGATGTAGGCCCAGTTGTGTCGCATTGTTTTCGCAAATGACTTGTAGTCACGCTGAAGGAACCGTCCCTCCCAGCTGCCCCAGCCAGACCATGCGTATACGTGCGCTGAGTATACTAATGTGTGGGGAGTATCCAACAGAATAGGACGCTTGCAGACACTAGACAGGTCGTTGGAAGATTCTGTTCCCTCAACGATAACGAGCCAGTCCTTGTTCATCTGAAGAAGTCGGTTGCCGCATCTTTCAGCAGCTGGTGCCCATTTGGACCATGGCATAGTTCCCCAGAGGCCGCGGACCTCGTTTCTTAGATCAACGCCAATGACAAGCGGGTTCTTGATATGTGGTAGCATAATCGCCTCCCAGTGCTGGATCCATTCTTCCTCAGTCTGCTTTACACGACAGATGGGACCTAAGTGATCGTTAGACCAACCCGCATCACAAGGGTTGGCACCACAGCACCAGGTCGCGCTGGTGACGTGGTTATTGACGATAACCGCAATGCCGGCCTTGGTGAGTGTCTCGACGATGGCGTGGAAGATATCCAGAGCTTTCAACCCTATCAAGTCACTGTTTGCGCGAAGGTGTTTCTCGTCAACAATCGGATTCTCAATGACCAGCTCATCGGCATAAGGTAACCTCACGCTGTTGAATCCAAGCTTTTTGATGGTCTTAGCAATGTCGTCGCGATGTTGGATATCTAATCCTCCGGTGACAAAGAACTCGTCACTTGCACCATACCAGTTCACCGATGCCATCTTGAAGCGACGACCCCGGATGTCGACGATATCCCGGCCTTGTGTCCGTAGAGGCAGAGTATAGTTGGTAATTTGCAGATGCTCCGGCGGCGGAGGCAACGGCTTATCACCGAAGCGTACGCTGGCAGCATCGGGGATCCAGCTTCGATGTAGCGCAGTCTCAACCTTCCATTGGTAGACATATCCGACTCCGAGGAATAGCATTGTTGCAGCAAGAAGAATCATGCTGCTTGGGTTACTCAGACAGCTACAATTCCGTGTTCGTGTCCTGGATGGTGTCTTGGCGTTTCCATATGGCTTTCCATCGTTGGCAAAGTGAACATGTCGTACAGGTTTCGTTATTCTCCTGGAATGTTTTATTTCGTCTCGTTGTTCATTCTCTCCGTCGATACTGCCAGCCTGCTCAACATCTGTCCAACCACGGAGTAAGTGATCCCGTGTGTCGTCCATCGTGCCCGGAGCAAGATTGGCTTGAGGTTAAAGTTACGTTCTGATTGAGCCTTATGGAATCCGTTCGATGTGAGAGATCCGGCCGTGTTTGGCGACCAATTCCAATTAAGACACGATCAAATTATTTGTTCCCTTTCGATGTGCTGGTTAGAGTCGGAGAGTCGCAATGTCTCACGCTACTATAACTCAAGGACGATGGGTGACAGCGAACAAGACCGAGATAACAGCCGGCATGATGACGGCTGTTCGGGAGCTATTTATTGTATGTCGAGCTTCAGTCATAGAACACAAAGATAACTATATCAAAGTGCCCGATCGCCAAGTCTCAAGGTAGTCTCATGTTCCGGCTCATCCGGAATAGAATGCATGGCGTTGTGACTAAGAGAGCGTGGTTGATGGAGACTGGCCGTGAGCTCATGCGACACGGCATTGGATAGAGACTTCAATTTCGTCATTGCCTTGGCTCGGGCTTAGTAATTGACTAATCAGAGTGCTTCATCTACTGCTTAATAGAGAGGGACGGGACGATATATGGAGAGAATTCTCCGTCTTGTGTTTTTTTTTTAAACTTGGTAACTTATGATTAAGTAATTGACCGCTATGAAAATGCTATGACTTGGCGCGTTGAATCATTCGCGGCGGCTGAGAAGTGAGACGTCAGACGCATAGCGATCCTTGGCATCTCGACAAGTCGCCGAACTCGAACACGACGATTCGTTCTCGCTTCCTTGCTTTATGAATCCGCAACATCCGGCAGGTTGCAGTCCATGAGCAATTCCCCATAATGGATTGGTAATTGCCATCCATCTCAGCCTTGAAGCTCTGGATCTACCGGTATGTATGGAATCATCTTAACTCCGCACTTCCGGTAGCCCTCGCCTATTCCCGCCGCCGCAGACGTAGTGTCTCGATCACCATTACTTATATGGAGTCACAGACTCATCATTGTACTCCACACATCTCTTCTTGCTCTCTAGCCATGAATCAGACGTTTCTCTCGGCGGGTCTCTTCTCTTTTCTTCTTCTGCCTTTCTTCAAGACTTGATCACAAATCCTCAACACCTTGCTGATGTTTTTTCAGATCGAATTTCGAACAAAGTAAATGCAGTAGCTGCAGGTGTCGTAATATTTCATCTATGCGATGCTGATGTGCCTTCAGTCGCTGGTCTTGATCGCTTCGAGAGTAACTGCTGATCGCGCGATACCAGGGTTCGACCGATTGTGGCTCGGTACATGTTCCGAGGGCTTGGATCGTGTCATTATTTTGGAGTTGATATAGATTAGAAAAGTATGTGTTTGGGTATATATTAGTTGCCCTGCTGGGGCTCATTCGTTGGTATGCTTGTCCCTCATTATGTTCGGTTCATTGCAAGGGGGTTCATCTCTTTGTTATATATCGGTAGTGGGTATGATTCCGTATCGTGACCCGTTGGTGGTCTGGGGCTTGAGAAGGACCTAGCTGGCGCATGATAGCGAGCTGTGCGGCCGAAGTAGTCTGGGGTTCTTCGTCCCTCCTCTGGCGACTTCATTGCTGGAGAGATAGGTGTTACTGCAGCGCTCGAATCTCTTGAGAGCATCTCGTACGAACGTGGCTGACTCTTGACGTCGACGCGCGCATCGACTGACACAAATTCCTTCTTGTTTTGGACAAACGGCTGCTTGATCAAGTCAATCCAGCCTTGAACCATGCCCCATCGCCCCAGGAAGAGGACGAGCCATAGGCCGTTGAGCTATGATGCTGTCAGTAAGAGATTCAAGACTTTGTTCGTGGGAGCACTTACCGCTAAGAGAAGAAGCACCGCTGTTACAGTTGCTTCGTTGATGACTAGGCCAGATGCCTTGTCAAAGCACTTCTCCTTATCACCCTTGGTAACGAAGAGGCATACGATCCAGTCTTCTGCCAAAGTAGGGTCGTCCGCAACCGACTGAACGACGTTGTCTTGGAAGACAAAAACCACAGAGAAGAAAATGACATCGGCAATGATGATCAATACAATAGCAATTCCACGCCACTGGAGAGCGATGACGCGGCGGACTCGTCGATAAACTTGTCGTGGGTTCATGGTCTTAACGCTTTGCGTGTAAGTGGGCAAGCTGGACCCCTCCGAAGAGGCACCATTATCAGACAAGGATGCCAAGTAGACCTTGATGCAGTACCCAAAGGTAGCGAAAGTGATGATGACAGTCAGTCCAGCAAAGAGCAGAAGCGGAATCCAGAAGTCAGCCAAGCTGTTCGCGTGATTGATATGGCATGTCTTGCCAAAACGGAACGAGACACCACTGAAGACGAGGGCCAAGACGATTCCCAGAATGGGGACTCCCCAACCAGCTGCTTGGGCAAAAATCATGAAGTTCTTGCCAACGAGAACTTGCCAGCAAATCTGAAGATGAAGAGACACCGACCTGAGAAACACCCACATGACGCCTGCCCAGCCTCCTAGAAGAAGGAAGGTACCAGAAGCGCCACAGACCTTGCTGCTCTGCATGCTGTGCGGTGTGATTTCGTTGTAGCATTGCTCTGGCTGTGCTGCGAGAGGAATGACAAAGCCCATCTACATCTCATAGCGTTAATCACTTGAATCGAGAACCTGCCGACAGTGTTTGTACTTACGTTCATGAGTAGAATGGCAAATGTCAAGCATATGCTCAAGTAATGCCGATTGGTTTTCTCGACGGGGAGGAATGCCCATGATAGAAGTAAGAAGACGCAACATATCTGGCTGCTAAGTGAGACCCAGTTTGCGACTGAAGTCAATGTCTCGAATCGTTCGGGGTAAACCCAGTCTGTCATAGGACATGGCAGGCAGCACTGTATGCTATCTAGTTGTTTGCAGAGTCGGCCATCGATAACTGCAGTTGTTAGAAACGATAACGGCATTCCGGAATCAATTCGCTTACATCCACCATCATCAGGAAATATCGAAGGATCATAAAACGGCGGGGGGCACATGTTGACCCCTAAAGTTGTGTTGGCCATGGTGAATGTTGGGTGGTGTTGATTGGATTAAACGGTGGGCTTCTTCTTCCGATCCAAATAGTCGTTACCAGCCGACAAATACTTCCAATCCAAGCCCGAGACGTCTGCAATTATCGAGTTTTGCAGTTTCCCTTCGATACCAGGCGTAAATGTCGATGTTGAAAATCAAGTGCGTTACAGCATAACAGGCGTTCCGTCAACAGTAGCTCGAAAGTGTGTGACGAGACGGCAGCACCGAGATGGTTTCGATGTGAGTACAGATAACAAAAGGTATGACGATAAAGAGATGCAGAGTGATAGGCAGAGTATACGTATACAAACAAGACTGGTCAAACAGATATGATAGCAACACTAACAGTGCAGCCAGCACATAAACTCATGAGACAACATATGAAGACGAGTCGCTCGCGTGGAGAGGTGGGCAGACGGGTCATATAAGCTCACGGAGGAGATCTGTGTATTTGACCAGGACCAATACCAAGCCTTCAGGACTGACAATGGGGAACGAGAACAAGACTTGAGGCGAGGGTGGAGGCAACAGGGTCTGCTTCTTTTTAAACACCCCTGCCATACTGGAGTCCCAAAGGGCTACAGGAAGAGTTTCTTTCTGTGCATCTGCATCTTGTCGGAGCACCCTGGATCAGTCATGGCATGGCGAGCCAGGACCAGGGTATGGAGCAGGGGCCAATAAGGCCTCGATGGAGACCGACCCAGAAGAGTTGCAGACGCTGAGACTACTGAGCATCATGGCTCGAGGTATCATTGGGGGAGTGGGCTGTGATGACAAGCGGGCACCCATTCGAGTAGGTGACAGGGGTTACTATACTTGGGAAAGGCCCACTCTGCCGTGCATCGCGGCCGTCGTAAGTGAAGGGTCTAGAGAAATGTTCCTGAACTTGAGGGCTTTTGGTGTGGTGCAGCTCTGCAGCAGTAAGCCAAAGTACCCAAAAAGGACGTACACTTTTCCTCCAGGGGTAGAAGCGAAGTTTAACGAAGCGAAGGTCCTCAAGTGGAGCAGCCGCTTTTCCAAGAGGCTGTGGTGCCTGGATCCAATGTGGAGGGCGGAGACTCAGGGGTCGTTGATGCATGTCTTGGTCGTCACGACATTCCCCTGTCACTTGACTCTTTCCAACTCTGTCGAGAGGACATATGATGATATTTTCGAACAAAGATGAATTACCCTTTGTCGATAATGGAGATAATAATCTTAGTAGCAGACTGCCACCAAGAACTAAGAGAAGTACTATAGGTATCAGGTAGCGGTGTTCTGGTCCGTCCCGCAGGTGACTGTGGCCCGTGAGTCAAGTTCGCCGTACGTACTCCGTAGATCTACAGCGGTCAGTTATCAACAAATGTACCTAAGGCAAAACAAACCTGTTGAGAATTGATTATTGGTGGTTTCTCAACCAAACAACACCTTGTTGTCTGTAAGTGATGCAGCAACATGCATCATGACGAGCCTTGCGATCAGACCAACCATTAATGTTTTCATGCTCGTGTTTCTCATCGATGATACATCAACTAGCCAGAGGTTGGTGGGGTACGCTGCCCAAGTTCAAATCGCCTTAAAATCAGCGCCATACTGACAAGAGTAGAGGAAAGATGCCAAGCTTTGTTATTTTCGTTCCATCCTGTAATTGAAAGCAGCCATACTGTCTTCGTCTTGGTTTTTCTTAGGCCTATCGACGGCTGCTGAGGGCTTTGGGACGCCCTTGTTCCGTGCAGATTTCCGAAACGTCACGTTTAAAGAACGAAGTCAAAGCGACGCTTGGTCTTGCTAAGATCAACGCAATTAAACACACGGAATCTTCAACAGACTGAGACAAAACCAGGTTAGGTAGGTTTAGCAGCCGCTTTAGCAACCCACCACCACCGCCGACCGTTAAAACTAGGGAGGGCCTCGGGACTTGGAGTCGACCGTGCTCTGTTTCAAACTCTGGCAACGCTGCAGAGATATGTGCGGGCTCGTCATGGAGCCGAGCTGAAACCTATTATTGAATTGAGCTGAGCCGGAGTGAAATGACCTACTGACTGAATTGAATTTGGGTGTAACCCACTGGTTCAGCAATAGAGCTCAATCGGTAACCAATAAGAGAAGTACCGATCTCGTAATCGCACAGTTTTCTGTGACTTAGTTACCTAGGTAGGACAATAGAGTTGGGCGGTACATAACAAATACGACGGTGTCATTCAACAGATATCAATGGTCGGCATTGTGTGCAAGTGCTGTGATGTCAACGTTGTCTTGAGTAAATCATCGTCGAGTATTTTGGTTCCTGTGTGATGAGCGTGAATTGCACAGGGATCATTGGATGGATTGAACTGAGATGATGGACAGACATCGATCTGGTGGGCCTTTCCTTCCCCAGGACGGCTAATCTGCCCACAAAATGTTTCTCCCACAGGGCAAGCGGTGGAGTCATGCCTTCCCTATCTTGAGTTCTAATTCTAGAGGCAAGTACGGATAATACAGAGTTACCTCCATGTTACTGCACTTACCATTTTTCAATCATCAAATAATTGTTGGCAGCAACACCAGATTGCCAATGCGACAAGAAAACCCTGCAAATGTAAGATTCTAATCAATCGCGAAAAAGCGTTACAGTCCATACAGATCAACGTATTTCTTCAACGCTTGCCATTTGACGGATCTCGAACGCCACCATCAAAGTAACAAAAGCCTGCGCGGTAGCCCTGGCCACTAATGCTCCCTCACTCAGCGATTGCTTCCATCAGCTCTCTTGGGGACGCGACAGCAGCCGACTCTTCGCCTTTTACTGGCTTCTCGGCCCTTCTTGGACTCTGGTCAATCCCTGCTCAGTCACACACACGGGCGGCTCCCTGTCCCTGTAGCCTTACCCTGGTCCATGTCATTCCCATTCAGGTCAAGTCGACCCTTCTTGTCTCTGGCTACTGATTCCTGTTGGCTGACACTCCTTTTGCCACTCAGGAACATCATCACCTTGCCGCGCCTTACAGCATCGCAACTCAGCTTCTAATTCGCGTCTTCGCATTTACACAAGCCAATATATCCACTATCACCAACTTTATCGGGTCCAATCGCTGCTGAGAACGTCTTTCCCAACCAAGTGTTACTCAGCTTTACATCACCAAGTATGGAAAGGCGCGCATAGTTAATACCTGTTGTATGCATATATTATCCGTCATTATCGCGGTAGCCCTCTGGCTCACCACTTTTCGGAACTGAATTTTTTCTTCGCGTACCACCAGTAGGGTACCAATGGCAGATCTTAAGATGCATGCCATATTTCATGAATCCTCCTGGTAAGCTTACATCTTGCACCTGCATCCACCACATCAGACCATGTTCCTGCTACACCATAACTTCACATATAACTTCCTAATCGATTTGTGGTATATCCGTATGCAGCCAAGTGTCATCATCATCACCATTGCATCGGAAATTGAAGACTCTGCTACGCCATCAAGGACAGAACAACTTACCTCGTTAGGCTTGTTGATGGAAATGTCAGCATACGTAGGTGGTACCGTGCCTTACGGATACATTCGATGCAGGTACTGTACACCATTGATGCATGCTGAGAGCCGGCCACTTCCCACCATCTCATCAGCCCGTACCTGGTTTGCAGAATTTGCAAACCTAATGGTGCGGTATTTCGTGGTTCCGTTTACAACCGCTTTTCGGTCCGTTCGTGCGACATTGTCGCCAAGTTCTCTAAGAGACGATGCAACCACCAGTGATCAAACTCAACTATTATCACATCGTTCTCATACAACGTCGTGTATGAGACTTTGGAGAAGATGCAGGAAGAAGCTGACAGTGATATCCCGCAACAGACCCGCTTGCTGCAGCTACAATGTCATTGGCAGCACGCAATTGCTAACAGATCGTATAGCCATCCACATCGAGTTGACCTTCTATATTCACTCTTGTCGTCCCCGCAATCCGTCCCCAGACGGCTCAGTTATCCTCATACCCGTTACTCTGGCTAGTGGCCATAAAGAACCACTACGCAGCAACTGAGCTGTAAGATCTGCGAATCCATCGCAAACCATGCCTCTTTCAAAGGGGAAGTTACATCAATACGAAAACCCACTAGACCACCAGAGGAACTCTCTGCATGCGAGTGCACTAGGTCGGTTCCGATGCCTGTTCAAGATGTTTAGTGAATATTCTCTCATTTCTCGCCCTGTATCCTGTGATGCTGTTAGCAAAGCAGTTTTCGTTGATACAGTTACTCAGAACCTTGCAATTCTTTCAAGGATCAACCGAAATTCTCCGCCATGAAGGTTTCGGATCCCCTGTTTGACATCTGCTAAAGACAGCAGATGCTACAACAATTGATTTTCCGGTATCGTTAAGGACTGGGAGTGTTTTGCTGCCCCGTTTGTGTGGCATGACACTATGCCTTAGTAGTGACTTAGTCAAAGGACGTTGGTCTGATGTGCCACACACCTGCAGCTGCGTGTCTCCTCCGGACCTTGCAGATAATCCTTCCACCTCCACAAATAGTGGGTGATGTGCCAATTCGGGAAGCGTCCAGGGGTTCAACCGTTGAGCGGTTTCGCAGGAAGCGTTCCCCGGCTCATCACATACAGCCAGCCGTACTGTACAGAACCGACAGTACATGCTATTAATTACAGCAACTTCAACATCAGGTAAAGGCCGACGCAACCATCGACCCAGCTGACGGGTAGGTTATGAGTTAAGCTACAGTAAGAAACGGTCTCTCTGTCTACAAAAAGGAATTTCTCTTGGCTACTACGTATCATATCCGCTCGACACATAAGAAATGCAATGCTACTCAGCATATCCACTGCTGCGAGGACGTTTATGACTCGAAACTGTTGCATCTTATTTCTTTTGTAATCTCTTCTCTCAAGCAGCTCAACGGGTACTGATAATGCCGTATGTATTAGCCGGAGTGGCACAGCGCGAGAGACCTTGGGCCAAGAATTCAGATTGTCTGCAGCAGTTCAAGCCAACACCGAGTTGGTTCCAAAATATGATTACCAGTATTATTGCAGACCGGTCAGTAGTCTAGTCTTGGTCGTATTCTTCTTTTGGTCCAACCTCCGGACCGGACAAACTCTCTTGAGCCTCTGCGGGCGGATTAGATATGGAGTATCTTAGATAATTGATCTGTACATCTTCCTAGAATAAAAAGCAAAGTGGACTTACATTAATCTTGCATTTGGAACGCGGACTAGAATATTCCGTACTAAAACAAGATTGAAGCTGAAACAACGGCTTGTAAACCAACTTGAAACTCAAGCCAGCCGCACTGATATTGATTAATTATGACATTGAGGTTTATGACACGGTCCTCAAACCCACAGTCGAGCTTTCACTCTTGGCTAGTCTAGCTGATGATCTGAGCCCGAAATTGACTCGCATATCCAGCTGTGGAGCATTATCAACCCTTGTTCGAGGAGAGGCTAGCTTCATCTGGCCCCAAAAACCGAAGGAAGATTAACCTCGATCATCTAGTGTTAGTACAGCACAATCCGTTCTGTGCCTCTGCGCGGCCCGGACAGCTAAATAGAGACTGGAGAACTTTGGTTTATTGACGGTTGCACACGATGGTCAACTAATAGACCTGTATTTTTAGACAAGTTCATGACTCCAGGATGGTGTTCGTCTGTAATTACCCAGGAACCAACAATCCTACGGGATAATTGGACGTGAGTCTGACCCCTGTTAATTCACTTAGTCGAGGATTCGAAAGGTTGCATTCTGAACGGATTTTGCCGGTCCGTATTGCGACCTAGGAGGCTCGGTCAGAGAGCCGTAGCGATATGATCTTCATTATTGATCGCTGTGGTAGCATTCAGTTCAATGCAACTCGAGGTTACAAGCTGATTGATAGAGGCTGCCAAAGAAGGTGTCACGGCCTTCTAGCCATACGCTCTAAAGGCTGGGCGGTGACAGCTGTAGATCCACGTTGGGCTTTGTCAAACTCTTTGAATTGAGGTGTTGTTTCACCGCGCTCTCCAAAGATCAAGGAACAGTCTGGAGTCGAAATCAGACTACATCATCGCGTTTCATCTCTTCCCAAGTAGCGCAGCATCGCTACTCCACCGCTAGGACGTCGTCGTCGTTTGCGTTTCAACCACATATCGTAGCGACTCCAGTTCAAGTAACCGAGACAGATAAGCAAGCAGCATTGACAGTGGGCTGAACCACGATACAGTTGCGGGTTCAAGGCCACGGACCCTGAGGATCAGTTTAAGGCACAGCGTCTTGGTATACTGTCAGACTTTCCAGTTGCCTTTTGTAGAAAGGTTTTCCGAACGGTAAACCGTAACCCGAAGTTCTGGAACCGAAATGCATCTCTGCCTTTCTCCCCGTGAGAATGCGACTTTGACACGCGGACTGCGTGATTTAGAATCCGATAAGGGCGGCCTTGAGCTTCCTCATACGACCACATTGACCGAGTGGGACTCGAAACCTTGCGGGCAGCACAGGGCTACAGGCTACAGGTTACGAGGCGCTCGAGCCAAGGGCAGAGCTCCAGAAGATGTTTGATACCCTGGTCCTGGAGTGAGTCAACTGGACTGGAGGGAGGTCTGGGCGGACGCAAAAGGTTGATCCTGAGAACTGTCCTGTCGGTTCCAGCGGGTGGTAGTCTGGCAGAATGGATTGCGTGAACCGCGGGAAGGATGCCGTGGCCGCTGGGTTGCGTGGGTGCGCCCGTGGATAGCAATCTATCGGCGACGAGAACTTTAATAAGATGGTGAGGGCCATAACGTTTGAGCCTTATACTTAGCATATCGGTTATTCGTGTGTATATCCATGGATGTAATCGTTGGCATGTCAGTGGATAACAGTCATAACGCCCTGTTTTATCGACCACTTGATATATCCGAAAATAGCCAAGAGTGTTCTGAGTTGCTGTAGTTTCATCGTGAGTGATACAGAAGTTGACACGTGATAAGTCGCAGTAGATCAGCCGCTGTTGTTTCTTCGAGATGCGCCGACATTGGTTGTTGAGAAGTCCATGTTGTGAGGTATCCGTTGTCTGAGGATGGATGTTCAACGGCAGAGATGTAGGGTAGTTAGCTGTCGAGATATCCATCCACGTGACCGGAGGTCAATATCTTGATTGAAGAGTAACAAACACGTATTTGTGTAGCTTAACTATTAGAATCAGGTGGATGTATTTGATTTCGATCTAATATTCTGATCGTAGTGTCTTGTATTGAAGCTCAAACATCTGAACAATGGATAGTGTTTGTCTTAACACAGCTACCCATCTAGACATTCTGTGTCAGTATCGATGAACCAAGTTGAGGCTTTAGTAAATGAAGGTCTATGCCAAATCTGTTGACAAATAAATAGTTCTTTTAATGTATTCGATTAAAAATCCCTTATATAAATCGTTGATTTGGTGATACTTCTTCTTTTGCCGGAGCAGATATACTTGGGTGGCTTGCCCCGCTGCTGTTCGCCATCGATTCTAGCTTCACACGGAGTCGCACAAATGACATAAACTCTGTACGCCAATACCAAACGCAAGCAACCAACCACCACTGAAAATCCATCATCAAATCATCAACAACCTGCTGTGCCTCTCATCCCGCAGCCCTTCATACATCACCTCGCGTCGGACTACAAGCCACTTGCTGCTAATTCCAATTCGCTCACAGCCAATTGACTCACATCATCATGGGCAAAGAAACTCCCCTCGTCTCCTCGCGACGACTCTCCAATGCTGAAGGGGATCCCGTCGCTGTTGTTCGCGTGCGAAATCTTCAAACGACTATCCAGGGACCGAAGGATGCTTGGGGGCGAGGCTCGAAGCAGCAGCCCTTGCTTATATCCGCTGAGGTCTCACTGACACATGCGTTCCCCTCATCGTCATCAGACGACAAGGTTGCTTCTGACACGGTTCACTATGGTCTTCTGAGTAAATCCATTCTCAGCACCTTGGACAAGTTACCAAAGTCGGCTCTGTCGTTGAGTGACGTCCTGAACAGGCTGTGGGTTGACCTTACTGGTCATCAATACACTGGTGTGAAGGATGCTTCTGCTGAGCAGACAAAGGCTTTCCTCGATACTAGCCTCATCCGACGTCTATCAGTCTCTTTGGTTCTTCCCAAGGCCTCGTTGATGGGCAGTGCTATCAGACTTTCTGGGTCTTGTCTCTTTGCCGACTCAGCCATTACCGCACGAAGCTTGGAACTGGGTTTGGAAGGAATCCGAGTGCCTACACTCATTGGAGTCAACAGCAATGAGCGAAACGCTAAGCAAGTTGTTATCACAAACATTCGAATCGACGAGTACCAAACAGCGCATGATGACTACGCTGTGATCGAGAGCATCATCGTGGATGTGAGTAAACTTGAAGTTGGCCAACCTATACCACTTATAAACTAACACCCGACTCCACAGGCTATGTCAGAATCATCATTCGAAACCCTGGAGGCTTTGGCGGCCAGCCTGGCCTTCCATATCGCCAGAGAACTGAGAACGAAGAGGGATGACTTCTACGGAGAGATCATCCGTATTGGTCTCGAGAAGCCCACAGCCGTGCCACTTGCGGAAGCCGCCTGCGTCGAGCTGACGGTTAGAACTGAGGACGTCAAGATCGAGGTGTCCAAGACCAAGGACGTGAGATTCGACGATACCAGAAACAAGGTCGCAAATGCCAAAGACAGCGGTGCCGGCAAGTCCTAATATCCGACTTGGCAATTTGGATTGAAAGAGCAATATTGGGAACAAAAAGGTGACGATGTATGAATATAACGATTGGGTCACAATCTACTTGGCATAGTATTTTGAACTAGCCAGTTTCTTTCAACAGTATACACATATTGTACATAAAGCAAGATAGCATTGATCAATAGTATAGCCTATTCAACATTTAGGCATACTTTTTTTGCAACCCGCTGTGCACAAAGACTTTTTGGCCGAGTTTGCTACGCCGTATCATACTCACTTGTTGACTTCCACTCCTGCCCGAGGGACATCTCCCTTTGTGATCTTGTGAACGAAGTCAGGATCTGGGTTGAAGAGCATCACATGGAGATGTTGGATGGAGTTGACAGATTGCAAACCCTGCCAGTTCTTGAACCAAAGGACCTAAACTCATCAGCCTCACAAATGATCCGCCACTAAAGGAAGAATGACCTACGTTTTCTTCAGGGACATGTTTCCGAAAGGTCCTTCCCACGAAATCATCAATCTCCTTCCTCGCCTCGTCTGTCAAATCGCCCGTCTTGGGATCCTCATCCAGAGCAAACTTTGTCCAGACCACAAGATGCACAATCCTAGGATCTATACCATACGGGGCATCGTTCCATATGATCTTGTAGTCATCCTCAAACTCAAACGGTCCACCGCGCGGCTTCACAGGAGGCGTCCATCCAAGACGATGCTCGAAGAGAAAGTTGGCGACACTGCCGTACTTTTGCTTGAGATGATAGGTAAACTGCTTGTAGCGGCGTAGCTCTGAGGGGATACGTTGGAAGAGCTCAAGGCGGTTTGCTTCGATGATTTCGCGGACTTCGTCCCAGTTCAAGATGTGATATTCATCGTCTGGCGTGGAGAGAATGCCGATATCTTTTGGTTTGGTGCTGAGGAGGAAATCGGGACATTCTTCCGTTCTTTGGTCCTCCGGAATGTTGAGGTTCCAGAACGGGAGAGTATCTGCGCTGCCCATTGTTGCTGACGTTGAGTTGGGATGAGCTGTGAGGTGACTCCTGAGAGGCGGTATAAGATGAAGTTACGGTGAGAGAGGAATTTAGGCAAGTCGCTAATGAACGCCAAAAGAGTGTTGATAGTCAAATTAATGAATATTTATCCGAGTAATGCGATAATTTGTTGTATGTTTACAATGTTGATTGGCTGTTTGCAGCTATTCATCAGATATAGAGGCTCAAGTGAGGCTGATTTGGCTGACGGAGGTTGGATTGATTGTCCTGTTCTCCACCAGGTTGCACCAGTCATGATGAGGGGACATGATAAGATAAACACAAGCAATTGTATGAAGTCTACATAGATATGACCTGCAACGTAGAAGAGACTATTTCACATAATTATCTACTGACTCTAGTTGAGAATAGACAAGTTGCTTATAAGTTAAAGCTAAAAAGTACCATGCTAGTGATCTCACAATCAGCAACCATCAAGTCATCAGGCGGGGTATCATAACATGGTACTCCACCAAACAGCGGTACATGAAGGAGGAGAGAGTCCGAAGAACCACAATATTTCGTACTTGGATAGCATCATGATTCAATCTAGTGGACTGTGGAGGAGGGAGAACAAGTCCGGAGCAAAGTCGAGATGTTGACCTCATATCTACGCTCTCATGTAGGGTAAGCAAGGAACCAGCATCAATATTCAGGCTTCTTATCCACTGCCAAGGCCACGTGGAGATGTTGATAGAAACAGTGAGTGAGTGTTACTCGGCAGATCAGGCTTGCATATGGGTTGTTATTCACTCACTGGTTGACAGAGCGGGAGAGGCGTATGTCAGTGGTTACACAGACTCTGAATGGTCCCGTCCCTTTTTATAGTTATTTATGCTTCACTCAAACTCAAAGCTTGTGATAGTACATAACCTCTGGAGTTGTGTCAGTATGTATAGATCGACCGATGCAGAGATAGTGTCGAGACTAAGCATGGTCAACCTTTATTGCATCCACTCTCTCATGGGCCTCGACTCCATTCACAGAGCTTTAATCAACCAATTGCAGCCCCACGAGATACTTTGCGCGCGGAGAGCTGCGGGAGCTTTGGCCCTCTTTTTTTTCTCCCGTGTCTTCACCGTTGAGACAGAAAGCGAAAGCTTGGGGATAGAGTCGGGTGAGGTAAGCTGGTTGGGGATGTTACCCTGTCTTTTTATGAGAAGAAAATCTCTTTCTTCCTCTTCAAATCTGGGAACTATTGACTAGCAAGAGGGATTTAGATGCAAATTGCTGCATTGGGTAAGGAAGTGGCAATTCAATGAGCGATATCATGATAAAAAGGTGGTGTACTTGCACCAAATCTAGCCATCCATTGCCATGATACCACTGTTAGCTTCCGATTGATAGTCTAATAGGGTGGTAGTTTGCTTATGTTTCCGACTCCATTAGGCAAATCATACCTGGTCTTCTGTAGCATTATATCGGCAAAGGACCGATCTCGAATTTATGAGTGTCGACAGTTTTGTCCATCATCTCGACTAGACTGCCCATTGCTAATTATATAGCGGCAAATGGATCCCGGATCCTAGTTCCCAGTTCTAGTTAGGTTGGGACTTGAGGACCAGGTGAAAGAAAGAGAATGAGAATGAGATCGCTGTGGTGAGTTTGGTGGGGTTTTAATTCCCGTGTCTATGGATACGTATCGTGAAGATGGACAAGAGAAATGAGATGAGTTGGTAACGAGATGGACAATAATAAAAGTAGATGACAAACGAAAAAGACTATTGATATTCTTCATCTCCTCCTTTCAAGCCATCATAGTTTAATATCTATTCTTGTCTACTTACCCAGACAACGGGTACGTGTTACCAGCCTCCATTCCCCCCAACGGCCAATAGCTTGGCCTCGACAAAACATGGGAGCTGAGCGAGCTGGACTGGACCTAGACGATCAATATCACCGAGTAAACAATTGAAGGGGGGTGTTGTCACCGCAACTTGACAGACAGAAACAACACCGAGTAACCAACAGAAAGAGGCGCAATTACTAGGTAGACGAGGATATGACTAGAATCTTCAGTTGAGAGAATTGATTGATACAAGAAAAATAGCATAGAGAAGAAAAAAAAAAAAAGAAAGAAAGAAAAAAACTAGACTCGA